CTGGGAATACTGGCGTTTACAAGCTATGTGATAATGTGAATTAGTCGTGAATTGGTGTCCAGAATCGACAATTTTGTGATGTAACCACTCCATTAGTGGTGAACGATGCTTCGTCCGAAAATTATGTTTTTTAAAAAAGTTCTGTCTTTCAAAATTTTGTACCCAAGCTACAAACAATAATCTAAACGTTTTGCTTCATCACCTGATTCGATAGTGTGGTTAAATTTTGGTTTATATGGCAATATTTTATTTTCTCAATAAATTCTTTGTAAATGGGATTTACTTATACGGACTTGAACTGCCCTTTTTCTTAACGACACCTCACCGTAATCCACTGCGTTCGTTACTGCAACAATTTCTTTCCTTCGCTTTTTTTCCTTCCTTTTATTTTCTACATTGCCCCTTTCCAAAAATTTTTTAACAACTCTCTTCATTGTTTTTTTATCTACTAAAAATCCAAATTTTTCCTCAAATTGCCTTAAGATTGCATTGTAACTAATGTTCCCCAATCCATAGCACTGCACTATAAATATTTTATGTTGTGATGTAAAACTCAGATCATTTGTTTTTATTGTAAAACGGAATATTAAAAAAAGTTTTCAAGAAAAAGCTCATTTTTTCTTTTATATGCTAAATTAATAAAATTCGGTATATCGCTATAATTTAACATAACAAACATTTTATCTTAATCAACTTTTGTTGTACATTGCTCAGAAAGACCACTTTACCTGCAACGGTTAACAAACTTCTTGCGTTAACTTTGTTACTTTGAGGATATTTGATGTAAAACTTGGTTATATTTCGTTTTATGACATCCAGACTTTAATTGCAAAAGATGGAATTTGAATTCAAAAATTTATCGTCAATTATACCTTACGGGGACACACTGTAGAACTGTTTAATTAAAAAAAAATTCCCTGATTAAACAAAATAAAATTTGCATATATAAAACAATATAAATCATACAATTTAAATTGGGATAATCCTAGATAAAGCATGAATGCAATTAGTATACAAATAAACGATAAATATTATCGTATTAAATAAATATTCGGTTGTTTAAATTTCAGTGGTATCGGCGAGAAAATGTAATCGAACAGATCTGGTTTAAGACTTGATTACGTATTGTAATTACGCGAATATACACAAAGGATTGTACAGCACAATTTTCCTGGGTTTTAATTACCGTCTATGTACGTGATGGGGTCGGTTTTATCCTCGGGAATTTACCTCTAGAACGGACGTGTAGGAATTATCCCTTCATTGGATTTCTAAATTCCCAGGGATGGAAGACCTTGTTAAAACCGTCTTATTTCCTTTTTATCTTTAATGTTTTCAACGTAGTCGTTTACTGTACATTTTCAACTTCGTTGCAATACGAGTACTTATGACTTTCAAAAAGCTCTACAATGAAGCTCTAGAATAAATAAGTGTTATACGAGATCCAGTAATAAAGCCTTTGTTGTTTGAGAAAATTTCATTTTCTAGTAAAACTGAATAATTTTACTTTTGTACGACTTGTTGAGTTTCTCGATTCAAATTGATATTTTGTTAAACAATACATTGAGTTTGACTTTGTGTCTTTTTAAGGGATTCTATTTAAAATAAACGGCTTTCACCAGTCGAGTTTAATATGAACTTTATATGGAAATTGTTAAAAAATTTTGATTGAATTGATATAGATATGTTTGTTAAGAACTTTTTAACAAGCCACTTTTATGAGATTAAAAGTTTTGTGAGAATATTAAATCATTTTTTATTTACTACGGTAAAATTATATTTTCATCAAAATGTACCGCAAACGACCCACAACGTATATAGGTCAACCAAAACGACTATTGACATAAAGCCGCATCGAAAATGGTTACGGGCGATATTTCAACGGGGACATTCTGAAAACCAAAAAAAAATACAACTCCCTAAAGTAATCCCACCGGGAAATAACCAACGCGCCATTATTTTCTTTGCAATACCAACTAAATTTCCATTACACACCTGGTTACAATTCGCTAAATTACCCTTCATCAAAGCGTAGCGTACCTCCCGTTCCATTACCGGAAACGTGAAACTGCCCAAACGATTTTCTTAACTACTCTAACGTAAACGAAAATTGTCCTCACGTAAATTTGTACACGTTCGGTCCCATTCGCGTCGAACATACTAAGTTAATTACGTTCCCCGCATATAGTCGTTTTGGTAATACCGGCCGTTTACCCATTAAGAACGTTTATTTAGTAATAGGTACACACGAATACGAGGTGGTAAACAGGAAAAAAATGTTTTACCATTAGTCGTCGTTCGTCTTAATTGTGGTGGGAAGGTAATAAATTAACATTTTCGAAGTAAAAAAAACTAGGGTCGTTGTAGTACCACATGGTGCTCGTGCGAAACCCGTATATCGTGGAAACGTCATATTGGTTTGATGTATGTGACCTGCCGTTGGTTCATATTCGGGAACCGTGGCGCCAAATTAAAACGCATAAACTGGACGGATTGATAAAATTATTGTACGTGGGAATCCGAATTGCTGTTGATGTTTCTCTACATTATTTATAAAGGCTTTTTATTTAATAATAATCAATATTGATTTTCTTAAATCCTTCCTATCAAATTAACTTTTAGAAAAATCGCTTTACCTTACGATGTTGGTGGAATATTAAAAGCTTCCCACGCCACCTCACGCCAGATAAGGTAAAAAGCAGGGTGAAGCAAAGTTTAAAAGCTTAATTGAGTTTCCGTAGTTGTGCTACTACCCCATCGTAATATTTCTAAATATTGAACGGTTCTCTTCCTTTAGTTAGTAGCCGGACGGGGTTTTCTTTGTGGCAACCTCTTGTTACCAAGTTCTAGAGAACAATTTAATCAAAAGGTATCATCTTTCTAAGGACTGAAATCCTATCTAGTTGGCAGACTAGAAGATAACGTTCTCTCTACGGTGCCAGTAACTGTAAAGGGAGGCTCTTTAGTTTATTTTTTGTCTGCGGAATTACCACCGAAGCGAACCATGCTCTTTCTTTGTAGATAAGATTAACCTGGTTAAGCATAGATCTACATCGTCTAATTAAGAATGTTCTAATCGAGAAAACTTTATAACTTTAATTCTGTTTCTGTGTAAACTTGAGCAAATTGAGTTAAGCATAATAGGTTATTCTAAATAATAATAATAATAATCAACAAGATTATTCTTCACAACAATCAGTATACATATTCGTGAAAGTACAAAAATTATATAAATTTATGAACAAAAGGTGATGTTCGATAGTCTCCTATCGTTCTTCCACAATCACCCCCTAAAAATAATAAACATAAATATAGACAAAACAGAAAAGAACACGAAAAGAAAAGATGACGAAGAGAGAATTTATGCGCAAATACGGCAGAGCTGAGCTATTAACATCATCGGTAACTCTGAAAAATAAATCAGTGTTTATTATAAATTCATAATAAATTTCAAATAATTTTATTTTTTAATTCCAATTACTCTCACCAACACAAAAGAGTTCAGTTCGTTCAATATTGACAACCACTAGTCTCGTTGAAAGATGTTGACGAAATCGCAAAAGTGGACGTCGAGTACGTTTCCTTCCGCCACACAGATCAAAGAAATAGGGCAAAAACTACGAGTCAGCTTTCCACTTCAAAAAATAGATATCTTTCCGTTTCTTAATAAAATATTCGTCCGCAAAAGTTTTTGGATTATAAATTCGTTAAAAACTCATCCGGGCAACTATTGTTCTTTACCGGTATTATTATCGGGAGTAATAATAAATCCTGAAGATATTCCTTAGGGGTCGTAATGGATACCTCGATAGGATAAATTCATTTCAGAAATTTATTTTAATCAGTAACTCTTTTAGTGGTTAAATAAAAGCAAAATATATTTGCAAAACCTAAAAACAATTTTCTTATTTTCTATAATCATCATTGTTATGATTTTTTAAATCCAACTCTGCGTGTTTGATTGTTATAGATATGAAATTTTATTTGATTTTAAAAAATCGTATTTCAAGAACGAATTAAAATATTACCATGAACCATCAAACAAAAGCAATTTAAAGCAAATTTATTTAGTGTTTAATATGATGAAGTTCAAAGAAATGAACTCTTCAAATTTCGGAGTTATGTTTTTTTGAATGCAACTCTGCATAATCACAAATGTCTATAACTTAATAGTAACTAATCTTTCCGTGTCTGAGTAATTGACCAGACAAGATAGATCTGTGCATTCAATCACACAACCTATATAAGCATATTGCAAATAGGATCACAAAGTACGCTACAAATTGCAAAGGCAAACATAATACAGTTTCCGTTTACTTTTACAAACAAACATACGAAAGGCCACAACGTAATAACTATAAACATCCGATTAAAGAAACACTTGTTTATATTTGCGGAACGGTAGCCTTGCTGTGTTTAATCGAGTCTAGAACACAAGATAAGATTACTTTACAAAGAAATAATAAAATTACTTCCTTTTTTAACTAGTGTAAAACATATTAAAATTTTAGAGTTTAGAACATTTTTGTAGTAATCGTGAAAAATTAAATGTATTTATCTTTACGATTACGACCATAAAGAAACAAATTTAAGATCTTATCGTTTATAAAACGGTTTCAATCGTGATAATAAAGGAACAAAAATATATCTTTTGGGACAACGCGACCAGAAAGTACTATGCCGTAGGTTTCCGTGGACCATTAAAACATTTATGGTACTGCAAAGGAGAGACGAAATAGCAGCAGTAAAATAATTCAATTTTCGCCACGACGGCATTAGATTTACGCGACCACCGTTGCTATACTAGTTGCTGCCTGCATACGCTTCCTTTACGACCAACGTTCAACTTCGTAGAGCACGTTGATTGAAATGTGGAAATTCGCTCCCTGACTTTTAGAATTTACCGCCTTGTCGAGCATTTCGTAAATTTAATAAGAATCTCATATCTCTAACAAATATTAGTCATCACAATTTCATCGATATTTTTCTTCTTTTTACAGAAAATGCTTCCAAAGATTGTCTTAGCGATGGTAATTGGGCTGAAAAAGCAAACTATTCCAAATGTAAAGAAATATTAATTATACCCCCAGAAGATGAGGAAACGATAGCTTCATCAATGATTTACTGCGTTGGATATTCAGTCAGCCTGGTTGCTTTAGTTATAGCAATTGCTATTTTCCTCTATTACAAGTAAGTATATCTTCATTCTAAAGGAGTCACTATTAATTTTACTTAATCCACATATCCCTAAAATTATATAAAAATTCCAAGTCGCTAATTTCCGTTAGCGATTTCGTTATCTAGGGTATAACACAGTAGGTAACAGAAGTGATAGATGCAGGCAATAACCAGGAAATGGAAATCGGAATACTCACAGAGACATGAAACAAGAAAGGAAAGGGAACATGAGGAATTGAAGCATTATTTTTACGCACGGTCGGGAGTTGATTGAGAGTGGAAATCTCAATGAGTTGTTGCAGAAGTGACGATACTGGTGCACGAAAAGCGGACACAATATACAGGGTGTCTCAGCGAGACCGGTCATTAGACGTTTCTGGGGTTCTGGCGAAAATAAAAATTTGAGAATTCAGACTTAAGTATTATCAATTACGATCTCTTCGTCTAAAATATTTTCAGATTTCTTGCACTTCCGGTTATACCGGAAGTCGCCACCAACTTTATTTTTTTAAATGGAACACCCTGTATATTTTTACATATTTGGATTTGTCTGTTTTCAAGGTTTATAAATAACTTTACTTTTTGCAATTTGATTCGGTCGTTCTCGAGTTATTCGAATTTTTCTAGAAAAATCTGCTCCAGCAGACATTTGTTCAAAAAATCAGAAAACACTCAATTTTTGGGATATCAATTTAGGATTGAGAACATGCTTAAGCAACATGATGGAGTATGTTTTGGTGCCGAGAACTGCGGTCTAGAACGTTTGATCACTTTACTATGGCACGTTAACTTTTCAAAATTTGGAAGTACCATAACTTCATTTTTTTAAATGGCACCCCCCATATTTTATTTTTTAGTCGTCTTCGGTGTCTCATTCTACATCTTTTATATCCCATATGGCCCATACCTAATATTAATAGTTTGGGAGATAATTAGGGTTTTTTGAAAAATGCACACATATCATATGGATATTTAGCCTAGTGTGCCATGAAAAACAAGCCTTCTCAATGAGTTCTTGTCAAAGACTCACTTGTTTACGTCACTTGATGCATGTGAGCTAATAATTATCTGTTATGTCCCTTAATATTAGTACTGAAACGAGTTAAAATCGATAACAATAACGAAAGTAATATTTACACAAATCAAGAAATTCTTAATTTATTTTTTTTGCATGAAAAGCGCGACAAAGTTCGTAGTATGATTCCCAGATCTTCTTTGGCAGCTCGAATTGAGGTGTTGGGACTGGGCTCGAAATAAGCCAAGGTATTCACCTCTTCCGTTGCATTATCTACTACATTTTTTGGTCAGTTTAACACGTGATTAATTCGTCCAAAATGCAAAAAATTTGCTTCTATTCCTCTAAATTTACCTTTTGTCATCGGAGATAAATGTGGATAATTTTCATTAAACATTCTGCAAGTTCTACTAAGAACTTTGTCGCACTTTTCGTGCACAAAAAATAAATTATGGATTTCTTCATTTGTATAAACATTATTTACGTTATTAATATCCATTTTAACTGGTTTTAGACTCACAAGCATCAAACAACGTAAATCAGACTTTGACGTTTATCAATAAGTCATTAAACATTTGTTTTCCATGGCACACTAGGTTAATATCGATATGATATGTGAGCATTTTTCAAAAAACCCTAATTATTTCTCAAACTATTAATGTTAGGCATAGGACATATGGAATATAAAAGATGTAAAATGAGACGCCGAAGACGACTAAGTAATAAAATATGGGGGGTGCCATTTAAAAAAATGAAGTTATGGTAGTTCCAAATTTCGAAAAGTTAACGTGTCATAGTAAAGTGACCAAACGATCTAGACAGCCGTTCTTGGCACCAAAACATACTCCATCATGTTGTTTAAGCATGTTCTGAATCCTAAATTGATATCTCAAAAATCGAGTGTTCTATGATTTTTTGAACAAATGTCCGCTGGAGCAGATTTTTCTAGAAAAAATCGAATAACTCGAGAACGGCCGAATCAAATTGCAAAAAGTAAAGTTATTTATAAACCTTCAAAACAGACAAATCCAAATATGTAAAAATATACAGGGTGTTCCATTTAAAAAAATAAAGTAGGTGGCGACTTCCGGTATAACCGGAAGTGCTAGAAATCTGAAAATATTTTAGACGAAGAGAACGTAATTGATAATACTTAAGTCTGAATTCTCAATTTTTTATTTTGGCCAGAACCACAGAAACGTCTAATGACCGGTCTCGCTGAGACACCCTGTATAACAACAATAATAGATGCGACTGATGATTCCACAACTCAAATTAATGGCTCTTTTTATCAACAACTCAGTGAAGTTGATTACATCCTGCAAAACCACGGAATTAAATTGACGGGTGATGTGAATGTCAAGATTGGGTCAAAACTGGATGATGATGTGGTGTAAAAACTTCTCATTTGTTTAAAGATACGAAATATCAGAATGAACTTCTAGGAAAAAATGACGAAAACAATCCAATCTTAATAGGAGAAAAGAAGGTTGAAGAACACCTAAAACAAATCAAGGTTTTGAGGTTTTCTTGGCCTGTAAATATAGTAAGAGAATTGCTCAAGTTTGAAGGACAATAAATTATATTATTAAAAGACTGACAATGTTAATGAGTAACTGCTGCAAAGTAATACAGATACCTGAAGAATGGAAAACCTGTTATATAACATCGATTTTCAAAAAAGGAAAGATCTCAACAACTATAGAGGATTCAATGTAACTAACAGCGTAAGTAGACTCTTCGAAAAAGTTATTCAAAATAAATTAACATGAAACATAGTCTTTAATACATGTTGAAACGAACGGTGCCGCTTCTTACTTCACTTTGCAGACAACCAAATAGTCCTGGCACAAGAGTCAAAAGATGTAGTGCTCATGGTTAAGAGACTATACACAAAACATAAAAAGTTGGTAATGCAGGTTAGTTTGGAACAAGCAAAATACCTATTAGTTAATAGTGACACCAAGTTCCAAATCTTAATCAATGATTATACAACAATTAAATAAGTTGATGAATTTAAATACTGAGAGCACGAATAGACAAAAATGATATAGGAGGAAATGAAATAAAACATCAAATAAACGACAACAGGAACATTATAGGATGCCTTAATAGTCTATGATGGGACAAAAACATACCAAAAAAAGGAAGAAGAGAATAAGAAGAGCATTAGTAGAAAAGATATACTTAATCTGAATTACTGAACCTCGTCTGCAAGCAACCTTGGTGTAATTAGTCGAAAGATCAGCAACTTAACGTGATAAATCTGAGTGACAGGGACTCCATTATATGTTGACAAGTTTCAGCTTAATATAAAATTAATCACTGAGCCTCGACCGCAAGCGACCTCGGTTTACTTAATTAAAATATCAACAACTTAACGCAGTAAAGGTGATCCAGCTCGCGGGCGAGGCGCTACAATTTGATGACCAATTTGAGTTTTAGGTTGATATATTGGCTAATCTCACAATAACCCAAAATAACCAATTTCTAACACTTTTCGTATGATTTTGATTAATTCTATAATATATTAAAAACTGTCACAGATGGACGTCTGTAACTAAGTAGTAGAAAATTAAATTCTCTATCTGATACAATAATAAAATATGTGCGATCCATTTAAAATTGTCGAAACCGTATTACCAAAAAGTGTTTTTAAATCTGGTATAATTGTGAATTATTTAACACATCTTGAATAATTGATGTTTTATTATTCAATTTTATAAAATAAAAAAGTTTTTATTGGTTAGGTCGCTAAATCACACTGCAGAATAATAAAATTTATTCAAACTTGAAAGTGTCTTTCTATGAATTTTAGTCTACAAATTCATATTTCTATGATTTGACGTGATGTCGATAAGACAGTTAAAAAAAAATTATGGAAAAGAGGGGAAAGCGTCGAATCATAAAAAGATCTTGTTGACATAGCGTTATTCCTTGTCTGCTTGTCTACGTCTCATGAATTGGAAATGGGACGTCAGCAAAATAAAACAAAAAAAGGAAAAATCTTATATTGACGCGTTAAATGTGTTTCGAGCTTCAATGACCAAGTTCATAAAATAAAAGGAGAAGATTGATTCTATGTATCTGGTGTGGTAGAAAACAATTTCGATTCGATGGTGGAAGTTATCTATACTGTCGTTTACAAACCGACAAACTGTACATTTTGGACACAGACAAATAGACTTGAAATGTTAACACATTGAGACTTTTAAGTAAAGTACCAACTCCATTAATCTACAAGCTATAAATTAACTTGAACGAAATAGAAAAACTAAGTTGTGTAATAGTCAGTTTCTTGTTTTAAAAATCTTGAAAGCTATTCAACATTTTTATATATTATAAAATTTTGATGGGAGGGAAATTTACGAGAGTCAGGAAAACTCAATATCCACCATCCCTTTTGCCATAAGTGTTATAAATCAAGAAAACAGGTCCAGATTGTAGCCACCCGATCGTGTCCAACCCATTTCGGACATAACTGGATGGCGACGTCTGCCGTATATTCACTTTATCACAGCGCTTCGTTATTAAAAAGTCGACGGCGCGGCGCGGCGGGAGTTTGATAAACTTTTGGGGGGTCAAAACTTTCACAATTCCCTCTTCACAAACAAGATAATTTACCACAAAAAAGAAAATAATAGAAGTAGTCCCGTTGACGAAAATAAAAAGAAACATATGTAGCAAACATACTGCATAGACAACAAAAAAAGCGAGCACGCGGAAACAATAAAAGTCTTCTATTTATTTATAAGATTTTCACACAGGGAAGTTCACTCTAATATCACCGTATAGTAATAGTAATAAAACATCTCGTCGCGTGAGAAGTTTTAATGAAAGTCTTGCGCCGTCTCTGCCTGTTTCAGGGACTTGAAATGTCTGCGGAACAGGATCCACACGAACCTGATGTGCGCCTACATGTTGCTGTATTGTACCTGGATTTTAATGCTGGTGCTTGGAGTAAGTAACGCGTTTTTTAATGAAAAATTAAATGACCGTGTTTAAATGTCTCATCGTAAAACCACGTTCCCACGTGGAATTTGCTCTCAAAGCTTTGCACTAAACAAAGTAACATTATTTACACTAAAAAGTTTTTAAATTTACTAAATAGTAAATATCATTTATATTTCGTTGTGAATTATCGCGGGATATAAATGGACTAGATAAACCTTACATGAACGCAACAGATTGCTCAATTAAATCCTATTATTGTTATAATTAATGTTGATTAAACTGTAACCGTAAATTTGTTACAGACGCGACATGAAAGTACAGCGTTAAGCATATCATTAACGATTACACTGTACTATTTTCATCTCACCACATTTTTCTGGATGTTCGTAGAAGGTATGATTTTTTTTATTCAATTATTTTTTAAGATAATACTTTTGAAACAATGTAAATTAAATTTTGAATTTGTAGAAATTGTGCAATAAAAAAACATATTCTTACAAATTTTATTTGAAATTATTTCCGGAAGGTTATAAAAGAACAAAATGCAAGAAATTCTTTAAATATTCAATACGAATATCGTTTCCGCAACGCAATTCTTTGTGGAAAACAATGATTGGGTAAATAGGGGAAACGAACTCCCCTGTTATGCCTGAAAATTGAATTTGCTAACGTCGCACTCGCCATTGAAAATGTTCCATTTTACTTTTCCAGGCATGTATCTATATATCCTTGTGGTACAAACGTTGAGAAGGGAAAATTTTAAACTTCGTTATTACGTCTGTATAGGATGGGGTGAGTAATTTTTTATTTTTGAAACGAAATTGCTTTTTAAATAACTCGTTTTATTTCTATTTTAACAGGTTTCCCATTTATTATCGTTTTAGTGTGGGCTATAACAAAGGCAGTGTTAATTATAGGAAGTTTAAAAGTGAGTATAGATATATACTGAGTGATTCAGCACAAGTTTGAGAAATTTTTAGAGATAACGAAAAAAAAATATATAATTTGTATATGAAAGGAAGGCTTTAGCAGTTGCCTTTATGTCAAAACTATGATAGTTATCTAACAACAAGAGGTCTCCTTTCTTGCATACTTTTAGCCGCTTAGGATAGTAATTTTGTGCTGAAACGACGAGGGTCACCATTATTAGTTATTGCCAACAATTTTGTTTCAAAGCGAATTCGAAACAACGTACCAATTATTGTCTGCATGGTTTTAGCACCAAGTTTTACATAGAAACCAATTTACCCCATCTTCCTCATTGTTTCGTTCTCATTGCGATGAATTTTCTCTTAGCAGACTTTTCGTAGATGCGCGATTTAAGACGTTCACCAGTATGTTGCTGTTTTTGATTCGTACGAACTTTTTCTATTTTGACCGCTGGAGTTTGAATTGATTCAGAACATTTAATGTCTGCTCTCCCTCAGGTGTTTTGTTTGCAATATTGTGTTTGAATGGGTTGTGTTCTTATTAATAGTATTATGTATCTTATCGGTTCATAAATTATCCTTGATTAGTGTCTTTCTAAATTTTCTTGTTGGTAACCTTGAGATAACTAATATCATTCTCAAATTGTTTAAGCCTATTAAGAATAGGAAAAGTCACCGAAGTCCATTTACTCGGTGTATTTACTGGTTTTAATATCACCGTTTCGTCACTAGTAGACAGTGATGGGCGCGGGGTAAATACCCGGCAGGTAGGTATTTCTAAAATGGGTATTTATACGGGTATTTACCCCGGCCCAGAGTAAATACCCAAACAGTGGGTATAAAAGTATACCCACTGTATACCAGTAAAAATATATCAGATTCAAAAAAAAATGAAGAGGAAGATGATGAGGACGTTGAAGACGAAGAATTGTCAACAATCAAAGACGTATTATTATTAGACGAATCTGTCGTAATTTAGATTAGATCAAGTTATTATGATTATTGTCATCAAACACCCTCTGCGTCCAATGTTGGACATAGACCTCCCCTATTCTATTCCATTCGATTGTATTCTGTGCTGTCTGAATCCAATTGTTGGTCATTCTTTTGATCTCTACTTCGTCTGTTCGCTTGCGGTCTCCACTCAAGCAACCTTTTTGTCCACTGCTCATTCTTCATTCGCTCGACATGACCCGCCCAGTTCCACTTAAGCTTTGTCATAATGTTGACCACATCATTTACGCCACTTCTTCTTCATAGGTCTTCATTTCGTATGTAGTCCCTCAGAGTTAGACCCAGGATCGACCTCTCCATTTATCTTTGCGCTACCTTGGACCCTCCTGGCAGTGGCTACCGTTAATGTTAAAGTTTCGGAGCCTTATGTCATAACCGGAAACACGCATTGATTGAAAGCCTTTTCTCTTGAAGATGTCTCTAAGTTTCCTGTAGGCTGTCCATACGAGTGTGATCCTTCTGTTTAGTTCGCTTGTTTGATTATCTCTCGATAAACGAACCTCATAGCCAAGATATACATAACTGTCAACCCTCTCAATCTCATTATTTGTTGATGTTAGAGTTGGAAACAAGATTTATCATAAATTTTGATTTCTCCTCGTTGATATTTAACCCGACTCTTGCACACACCTCCTTTAAGTCGTTCAGAATTAGTTTAATCTCTCCAAGGATATCCGATATAAGAACTATATCGTCCCCGTAGCGCAAATTACTTAAGCATTTGCAATCAATGTTTATGTCTTTTTGGGTACAATCCAGTTGTTTAAATGCACTCTGACGACTGTGATGAACAATTTGGGTTCAACAGTGTCTCGCCTTGTTTTACTCACAATCAGTATTTTACTACTTTTACTCTCTTCAGTACTTTCATGCAATTTTACCGTCATTGTAGTATTCTTGTAGATGTTATAAATAAGTTTGGTATATCGATAATCGACTCTGCATTCTTGAAGTGCTTGCCAAATTGCCATCAACTCAATTTAAATTAAATTTTATAAATACCTCTAAATACCCATCTTGGGTAAATACCCCCAGGTATATATCCAGGAAATTTACCCTTGAAAATAAATACCCAGGTATTTAACAACACTGCTAGTAGATGATGTACAATGATCAAGTCGTCAATTAATACACTAAAGTGAAGAGTCGCTTTAAGCAAATCGACTAACTCATAATTTACCAGAGTTGTAGGACAATAATGAAAGAAGATGTCACGGTTAGAAGTACTTACTTACACTAGAAGTAGTAAAGAGAAAACTACCAAGCGCCAAGAAATCCATACGACATATGTGGATAAGTATCCATAAAGAAACGTTTAAAACGAGGGAAGTTTTCTATATTCCTGATCTTTTATTAAATCGTTTATTTTTCTTCAATTTTTTTAAATAATATTCTAAAACAGCTGTATATTTTTTCAATTTATATCTGAAGGTATCTTAACTTGTTCTTAATCACTATGTAAATTAAAAATTTGGTATAAATATTTACTAAAACTAACAATTCTTTTAGGAAGCTGGTGGTTTCACTTGGATGACTTGGATGGCGATCGATTGGATATTTCAAGGTCCACCAGCAGGCGTCCTTTTATTAAACCTAATCTTTCTCATAGCCATCATGTACGTTCTTATTACAAAACTAAGGTCAGCAAACAATGCTGAAACAAAACAATACTGGAAAGCGGCCAAAGCTCTCCTAGTTTTAATGCCCTTACTTGGAGTTACTTACATAATCACAATATCAGTTCCAACAACTGTTTTTAATTACATAAGGGCTGTGCTACTTTCGACACAGGTGAGCAATTCTTAATCTTAATAACTGAAAGTTAGATATAGATGTATAGATATTATTTCGCAAGGTAGACATGCGAGTGTCTGATAAATTACGATTCGCTGTTAACCTAACATTAAATCTGACGCCCAATCTTCTCCAACCACCCCATACGAAGCTAAGCTTAATAGATTCGAGGTCGGATAAAGGAGTGCACGATTAGATGGCCCGAATTAATTAAACTCCCGGTACAATATTGGTACTAGAACTTTGCTAGACGCGGTTTGTCGGAGAGGCCTGGTTTTATGTACTTGCGTATGTGTGCGTGCAGTCGAATTAATTCGATGCTAACTCGGTTGGATTAATGTGAATTGTCAGTATGTTTAACGATCGTACGTGTCCTCGGATTTAACTAGTTTATTCATGCATCAAATGGTAAAGTAAAACTAATTTGTTATACATATATACTCATCATATTATGAGCCATAAAAATACAGTCGATATGATTTTTTGAAAATTTTGCGTTATTTTTGATTTATAAATTTGACAATTTTATGACCGCAATATATCTTCCTTTGTCGCACAATCTGGGTATAAAGAACGTTATTTAGCGAGCTAGACAGCAGAAAGAGTGACAAGATTATAGAGGCCGAGGGTTTATATAAATCCATTACAAAAATAACATAAAAATAACAAAAACGAAAAAATACGGACATAAATCTCTCGCTAAATAATCCCATACAAGCTTCAACTTCGCAAGCAAACAAAAGTTTCTCTCTACAGATGTAGAGAACCGAGGTGAAGAACTAAATTATGGTTTCGTGTTACGATACTTGCCCTCCGAGTCGCCTAAATGTAACTTTATTCTTTGCGGAGATTTTAGATTCACTCTTTAAATTCACCCCTTGTCCAGTTCCCAAATGAAATGCCTAGAAAAATTTACGAATTCTATTCGGAAATCAAACAATTTGGTGAATAGCAGTTAATGAAATGCAAAAATATTCTACTATTTTTTCAACGAACGGGCAAAAAGAGATTGTGGGAAATTAAACATCCCGAAAAAACCGAACAAAATATAAAACGTCGGTTGTTTTTATCCATTTTCAATTAAAAGAATTTTAACAAATTTTTTTACTCAAAGGGAAAGTTAAAAAAACAAAACCAATATTCAAAAACCTATAAGTTTAAAACGGAAATCTTTATCGCATAAAAATATGGTTCGTAAAAGGAAATTTATGTCACCGTACTAAAATAAAAACGACTGATTTTATTACCAACCGCTATATACATATTAAATACACGTTTTCAACGGCTCATTAACCAACCCTTATACACATAACGCAAGATACTTTAAAATCCATTTTTATTTAGATACCCGAAAGAAAATATGCCGGAAAGAGTTGATGATTTATTGAGGGTCGTGTATTTTGGGTTGGAGTAGACCATAAGCCACTTCGTCTCCAGATTCCGATCATAAATTCCTCCAGTTGACTCGCATTCTGTATTCAAATTAGGGCCGTTTTAGTATCTATAGGTACCATAACTTATTATAACGTGCCACGAAATGAAAATAGTTCAAAAAAAATTAACTGTTATAAATTTAAAGAAAGGAAATGTACAATTAAAATGAATTATTGTACTCATTTATCAAGTTTCCATAATAAGAGAAAAAGGGAGTCATCTACTAGTAGATTATTTAGAGCTAAATAAAATCAAATTTCGATATAGAAATGGAAAGAATCTTTAGTTTGGCCGGCTCCTCCGCCAGATCTGCAATCTATCCTTTACAAATCAAAATATGATTTAATAGATTGTGTCATAGAAAGTAAATTTAATATATCTACTTAAAAGCCAGCTTTAGAACTTTCAAACCAAATCAAATCTAGTCGTATTCCTAAAATAAACTCGATTCGAATAATATTTTCTTATACAGCAAACGATTTTTATTGAAATCTACAAATAATATTGTTTCAAGACCGCCACAAAATCTATTATTTGATATTAAAATAAAATATTTACCTTAAATTTTTACAACTCTTAATTCTTTTTGGGCATTTTGTTATTTAGCTAGGTTTTATTGTGTTAGGGAAACTCGATTAAAAAGTGTCCATAATGAACTTTTTCCTCGTATATAAAAAGTTTTTAATTAACAAGCCGTTGGAACAGTTCCAGATGAAACACGTCCGTTTGATTTGATTAAACTTCGTTTCACTCGGTTAATATCCGCCCCGAACTTCTTAAGGAATCCGTCAATCTTATGGGAATCGAAACATTTAACGAAGTTTGGTCAGTTCATGGGTCAAGAAAAAGAAATATATAATCCAAATAAATTGTTATGTGTAATTGTGGTTAGTTCAGTTCTGGTTCAAGTACTCTGCAAATTTCGCATTAAATTAAATAACAATCGTTTTATCATAATTCATAAATTATTTCTCCAAGTGCCGGTTGTTACAAATATTACTCCCGGACACGAATTTATTATAAATTTCGACCGAATCGAAACAACAAAAATAACATGTAACTATTGAAAATTTAATCGCGGATGCGCATTTATTATTCCAATAGCAATTCCTATTCATACTCATTCCAACACAAACAATTTATTTATTACATTCTAATTAATATTTAAAACCAAATAGAAAAAAATATTTACATTTCAATTCGGTAATTGCGAACAAAAAAAATTTTTAAAAATAATGTTATTCGATCGTAACACAATTTTGCAAACAGCACGAATTAAAATCATTCCGGATCGATTTACAATCACTTTTAATTGAACAATATTTCAATCGAATCCATCATGTATTGAAAAAATTTACTACAACATCCAGTTTGTGTCCGATTAAATTACGATCACTATAACAGCTCAAAATCAATTTTAAAAATGCACTTTAAAAAATTATAATATATTCGCGTACGATCAGAAGAAAAAAAAAGACCTAAAATAAAATCCATAAATCAAATATTGTCGGTGCCAAAAATTCTCCAACGTACCGTTGGCGAATCTCCTTACCCAGATTGTGTCTCAAAAGTATCACGATAACTCGATATGGCGCTTTAAATTTCGAACACATCAGAAAAGGGAAACATAATAAACACAGTACTATGCGAAACAGTACTATGCTTAAAAATAACAATAGATCATGGTAAGTTGAACATTTCCCTATTTACTATCCTGAAGATTGTAAACCAAAGAAACCAAGGAACGAACCCCGGATGTTTCTAGCTGTAGGTCCAGTGTTAGTTTTAGTAATAATGCTTGTATTAGCTTTTACTTTTATGATAAAAAAGAATTAACCTAACAGTATCTCACTCAATTAACTTTTTTTATTTTCAGGGATTTATGGTAGCTCTATTCTATTGCTTTTTAAACACCGAAGTTCAAAATACCGTACGACACCACTTCGAAACATGGAAAACCTCCAGATCTTTAGGAAGACGAAGAATGAGATTGGGGAGTAGAAGTAAAGATGGTTCTCCAAGGTCTAGAACAGAAAGTATACGGTAAGCAGAAATTAATTTTTAAAAAAGTTTCCACTGCATGCAACATTTCTTAATAAATTTAATTTTAAAACGTTATCGACAGTTCATGCGCAACTAGTTAAAAGCGTTATCTTCGCGCACTTCCGGCGTGTTAACCACGCGAATAACCCTAACTCTGTGAAAATGCAATTTACTTTCATCGAGGTAATGGACGAGGTCCCATAAATTGCTTAGGTATTCAAAATTCAGGTCGAAACTTTTCCCCTTCCATTACAGATCTAACAAGGTTATTCTGATGGAAAATATTTCTGTTCCAAAACTTGAAACCCAAGCATTAAACTTTTTGATGCATTCATCAAAAATAGTTTTTATATTGCAATCGTCGAAATGCAAACTCACAAACCCATGTTACTCTGAATCATAAAATTCATAACTTTTTTAATTAAAAATTTTATTGGGGTTTTTGCGATATCTTAAGTAAGCATTAATAGTTCGGAGATAATTGTAAAATTATTGGAATAAAATGGACCATTATAAGATGATTTATTATTACTGCGAAAACATCTAAAACGGGTAAGGGGTACTTACTTAACATTTTAATCATCTAAAAATGCTTGAGACATAAATTATCAATAAAACCAGTACTCTTAGAAGTCAAATAGGTCTCATATTCAAATTATAATTTTTTGTTTAATATAATTGTACTTTAAAAACTTATTCGAATTATTAATTTTAGTTTAGGTAGTACTTTATTGGTATTCATATTTACGGAATGAAGAGGTTAAATTAAGAAAAATTAAATCGAGTTTTTCTAAAATGTCTACATTAACTAATAATACACTTATTACTATTATTTCTTCTGTGGGCACCCCTTCCTATGAATTGTCTGGTTATATGGCAAACATACTAAGCTTAGCTTTTAACGACAGAACTGATTATAATATCAAAAACACGTTTCAATTTGTTAACGATTATAAAGGTTACAAGCTGCCACGGGATTACATATTGATTTCCCTTGACGTTATCAGCTTATTTACGGTGATTTCTTTGGACTTGGTCAATAAAATTATAGAGGAAAAATGGGATTTAGTAGCGGACCAGTGTGGTTGGGATAAGGACACGTTTTTGTTGGGTTTGAAGTTAATCTTTGAAGCTTCAGTCTTTACTTTTAATGGAACAATCTACCGTCAAATTGAAGGAACCCCTATGGGCTCCAAAATCTCTCCGATACTGGCTCTGATAGTGATGGACCACGTCATTGATAACATTTTAAAGAAAAATAACATAAACTTCAGAATTAATTTCATCAAAAAATATGTAGACGATCTAATTTTGGGTGTCCACAAAGACGATGCAGTAGCAATTTTAAATCAATTTAACAG